GCACCTGGTTTTAGTGGAAGTTTTCCCTGCCCATGGCAGGGGGGTTGGAACTAGATGATCTTTAAGGGCCCTTCCAACCCAAACCATTTGGTGATTATTCTCTATTTAGAAAGGAGACATGACGAAGTGGGTTTATGTAAAATATGCTCCCTCTGGGCACACCATCTCAAGTGGCAATTAGGTGGCCTTTTACAAGTTATTAGCTGCCACCAAATTCCTTTATTTTTTGAAGAACTGATTTTGAATGAGCATTCCTCCCCAGCAACAAAAATCACTGTGCAACTTCTCTACATTCCAGTTATGGCTAGAATAAAACTATCCACAAGACCAGGAGAAGCTCAGGAGTTCTTGCGTGCTCGCAGGACCCATCCCCATTTCCCACACTGCTGGGCAGCACAGCACCACGCAGCCCTCTGAACATCCACCCGTGGGCTACTTGGGCCAGCCAGCACTTCTGCTGCGATTTCTGTCTTTAGAATGCAATTAAGTGGGTAAATTTTTCTGCCTTTAGAAGAATCCACCCTTCACTTGTTTCTCCTCACAAGTGAAATGGTGTCACAGACCTCCCCAGCATGAAACGCCAAAAGATGACTATACACAGCTAGAAGACAAGCCTGATACCTGGGTTGGAAAAATACCGTATTAAACAGACCTGAAGTGAAAGTTCCCCGAAACTGAAAACGGCCAATCTTGTTTATCTCAACAACAAAGAGCTGCTCCCAAGAAAAGAGACTGTGAACCCCTGAAATCGACCTGGGGCTCATGTTAAAGCTCAGTTTTGATTCATATGGAAGGGAGAAGAGGGTAAGCTGGAGACGGAAACGCCTAAACTCAGAAACCAATAGTTTAGGCATTAGTCTTATTACTCCCTAGAAAAGTAAATGAGCAAAAGGAGTAAACATATATTAGTAACTCTACTAGGTTTTTTTTTTTCTTTTTATCCACACAGAAAAGTAATGCCTAACAGTTCTAAAAGACTTTTCTGAAAAAAAATCAGTGACTACAATCCAGACAACATGAAGTACTTAAATTTCCCAAAATATTTTAAAAAGAACCCTAGCAAAAGATCCCTAAAGAAATCAAGCTAAGAGATATGAGAAAAGTCCTAGTGTAGATCAAACCCTGTATAAATGAAAGCAGTAAGCGAAAGTGATACAGAGGAAACAAAGGCTAATTTATAGACTGCAGGAAAGTTTCCATTCCATAAACCTGTACTGGTATCGAATATCTTCAGCAGAGTTGCAAAAGAAACCAAATACCCGAGTGACAGTGTCTTGACAGTACAATATTATTTAGGACAGGCAAACAGAATATCCGAGTTACTAAATACAGAATAAAAGGCAAAACAGAAAACTTGCTGAAAAATTCACATACAGCTTCTTGAGTATTAGGATGACCTAGCATGCACACATCCCAAAACAATATTGTAGAAAAACTACTGAAAAGAGATTTGAGGAAGATCAGAGATAAAGAGTATCCTACAATACAACCCAACAGGGAAAAAAAAAAGGTAAAACTGCATTGGTGAAACAGCAATATTGTAACCTACAACGGCTTGAGCGCTGAAAATTGGTAGCATGGTAAGCTACAGGGGTGGCTTCTGTTAAGAAGGTGCTGGAAGCCTCCCCTGTGTCTGACAGAGCCAATGCCAGTAGGCTCCAAGATGGATCTGTTGCTGGCCAAGGCCAAGCCCATCAGCAACAGACATAACACCTCTGGGATAATGTGTTCAAGAAGGGAGGAAAAAAAACCCCAAACAAAAACCTGGGAAAAGAATGTGCAGCAGAGAGAGAGTGAGATGTTAGAACAACTCTGCAGAACCCAAGGTCAGTGGAGAGGGAGGAGGTGCTCCAGGTGCCAGAGCAGAGATTCCCCAGCAGCCCGTGGTGCAGACCATGGTGAGGCCAGTGAGGGTCACGGGGGAGCAGACACCCCCCTGCATCCCAGGGAGGACCCCACGCTGGAGCAGGGTGATGCCCAAAGGAGGCTGTGACTCTGTGGGAAGCCCAGGATGGAGCAGGCTCCTGGCAGAACCTGTGGCCCCGTGGAGAGAGGAGCCCAGGCTGGAGCAGGTTTGCTGGCAGGGCTTGTGACCCCGTGGGGGACACAGGCTGGAGCAGGCTGCTCCTGGAGTACGGCACCCCGTCCATCTATTTCTCCCTGTTTCACCCCTAGTTTCTCCCCCTGCCCAGCTGAGAAGGACAGTGACTGAGCAGCTTTGGTGGCACCTGCCCTCCATCCAGGT